GTGAAGAAAGCTGAACGTTGGGATTTAAATGGAAACAGGGTCATTTGTCAATTAAATACTGGTGTTAATGAGCTATTTTATATTTTAAACTGAACGGTCAAACGGTGTCAGTCAAGTACATAGCACCATAGCCCTCTCATTCCAGAGACCACACTCCAAGGAATTCTTTTCCTAAAATTCTCTAACCGCATGTACCAGGTGATGTCACAGTTTATTCTCTCTATACTTATACTTCTGGATACAGAGAGACCAGCGTTCTGGAAATGTGGAGGGTGCATGAAGTACAGAGGAAGCTTACAAAAACATCCTGAATCGGAGGAGCTCTACCCTTGTTCTCCGAACATCCGGAGACACAAGACACTATGTTACCTATGATACAACAGCCTGATTTCGGAAAGTTTCCACAAGCTTCAGCTTTCCAGCTCTGATAGCACATACAACAAATAACAGAAACCAAGGGCTGACTGAACACAAAACAATCCTCAAATTTTCCAGGAGATAAGTCAGCTACGCCTCTATGCCATCTTGATCTCAGGCCAGAGAGCATGATGTGCTAAAAGTGGGGCGATATCAGCGGGACACCACCCGCAGAGAAGCAGTTACCTCTGAACAAACTCTGCAAGTCGATGTCCTCCTCCTCCTCTTTGATTTCCAGACATTTGGCTGACTGAGCATGCCTGGGAAGAGGAAGAAAGAGAGAGAGAGAGAGAGAGAGAGAGAGAGAGAGAGAGAGAGAGAGAGAGAGAGAGAGAGAGACCAGTTGGTTATCCTGTCAAGTAGAAACAAATCTGAGCAGCTGTCTCAGCACACTGTACAGAATGATATCATTGAGGACAGAGCAGAATCAGTCAGATCAGCATTGACTGTTTTGGCAGATCCCCTTATTACAGATAAGCTGATGCTCTATAGTGTCAATCACTTTGGCAACCTGTGCATAACTATCCATACCGCTAACATCAAATGTTCACTGGAGTTGTTAAAGAGAACCTAAAGGTGGTGCTGTGGGAAAATGATTCCCGGAGATAATGTTTGTTTGGACTTTGTAAAACAAATTTATAATTAATTTGGATTGTAAAACACTGTTTTGTGATCATGTTAAATGATCATTTATAGGTGTGAACTCCCTTAGAAACAATGTTAATTGCTATTTTGTCTCAATTGCTTTAAATGTTCAAGGGCCCTTTGTCATCTATACAACTCAAACTGACCAATAGCAGATCAAATTTCATCAACTGCATCCAAACCTGTTAGTCATTAATTTTTTGCATGTTTACATTATTGTTGTTGTCAATGTGAACCAGCCCATTGGTTAACAAGCCACACCTGCCTAATTAAAGGCCTATTAAATACAGGTGTGTGGCTGGAGAGCAGGGGAGTCATTTTGTTTCTGTATGTCTGTTTGCTCAGGCTGGTTTCTTTGTTTTTAAAAACAAACTATCAGCTTTTTTGAAACACTTTCTGCACACCCAGCTTTCATGGTAAACTTCTTTCATGTTCCCTTTTTTGTTTTTACTTTATTTTATATTTCCTGTTAACTCTTTTTAAATTAACATTTATTTAGTTGAATGTAACTCAATTACTTTACAAAGATGACATTATGAGATGAATGGGGAAAACCCTAATCTTTAGTGACTTTTTTTTTCTTTACAAGATCATTTCAATTGCTTGTTATATTTCATTGTCACAATGATTCACACGGATTGAAATGTAGATCTATTTAAAAAAAAAAGATGAAATTGTTCTTCTGACTGAAATCACGTCATCGACTCGGCTGACCCGGTTCTCGTGGGATTTACTTCTTCTGTTTGAACATTTATCAGTTGAATTAACTAGAAGGCTAAACGCCATGTCTTTTTAGTGACTTTTTAACAAGATTACAGATGGATAATCTATGAAAGATGTGACCTTCTGACTGAAATCAAACACACTCACCCGGTGCCTTCTGTTTCCCAGACAGGAAAAACAAACGCTAATTACTTTATAATTGTGCACAGAAACATTCTCACACTGTAATGCTTTGAACATTCTCAAATAAATACAGTAGGCAGCTGAATTTTTCAGGATTTGTTAGAACCCGCTTGGTCTAGAGCACCGTGTATACATTCTTATTATTTTATTAATTTCTCTCCCTCTTGGGCTCCCGAGTGGCTCAGTGGCAGAGGCGCTTCCCTTGAGTGCAAGCTGAGCTCTACGGCTCGGGTTTGTTCCATCAGGCAACCACTGGTTGGTCAGATGACATCAGCAGCGTAGCACCTATCCTCCAAGCGGCGGCTGCTCCACTGTAGTGCGTGGTGTGACTTCTAGTGTGAAAAAAGGCTGCTGCGACACGCAAGTCTATTGGAGGATTGTGCTCACCTCACCTCAGCGTGAATGCACAGGTTGTCACGGTGAGACAAACCTCCAATTGGCCATTCCAACATAGGGCGGCATGAAGCACACAAAAACTTCCCTCTTTTAGTTCAGTTGCAGCGCTTTTTATTTTTGCAGATGAATGAATCCGAATGGGTCGATGAAATGAGACGGCCTCCCAGTAGTGAAGAACAGATGCTCTAAATTCCTGTTCTTAAAAGCACCGCACTTTGCTCCCACTCAGTAGTGCATTTCTAAATGGAAGACGACTCGGAAAGCACCATCTGCACCTCCTGTCCCTCCTCTGGGAAGAGCCGGGTGGCAGTAAAGGATTCTGAATGTCTGCGCAGCATGGCACAGCCTTATGGAAGTGGACTTAGGGTCGCAGGTTTGATTCCCAGACGGGGAGCTGTCGGTGTACGCTTCAGTACTCCACGGGCATTGCTTCAGTAATCATCCCGCTGTCTGACTGGGTCCTGGGTGGAATGTAAGCTGTGGAAGTCGCTCTGGGCGAGGCCGCCTGCCAGGAGTCGGACAGGGGGCCTGCTGCGGGATCCATTAAACCGAACACTTCACTGCTGTGTGACCTCATTGTGGTGCTCAGCTCCGCAGGTAAATGCCCGCACTACGGCCCGTGGAGGGAGGCAACTACTTTCGTTATCTGTTCACGCAGAGTCATTTTGATTCATAGAGAGTAATTCTGATTCATTATCTGTTCTTAAGAAATCATTTTGATTCATAGTAATTCTGATTCATTATCTGTTCTTAGTCATTTTGATTCATAGTCTATTCTGTTTCATACAGAGTCATTTTGCTTCATAATCTGATCATAAGAAATCATCTTGATTCATCTGTGCCAATGAGTCTTTTGATCATTTAGACTTATGCACATGTTTTTATTATATATGCTGAATAAGAGTGAATTCCACTTCAGCTGAAAAGGATTTTAAGATGGAGCTCTATCAGTGCATCCATCAGTGCATCCAACCAAAGTACTCACTCCTTTCTCCAGCCCTCTGTGTTTTGAAGCATCCTTAAAGGGCACCTACGGTATCCTATGTCTCTGAGAAAAATTATCACTAGTTCACTATAATTCTCATTTCACATTTCCACAGCAGAAAGAGTCCCTGTTTTGCAGTTTCCCCGAAGCAGTATAATACCTGTAAGAAATGAGGAAAGAATACTAAGGGAAAGCATTTGACTGGACAACCCAATCACACACTACTTTGGACAGCCTTTCCAGGGCTGGTTTAGAGGTTCGTGGCACATGCGACCAGACGCTTTCTGTGGGTGTTCAGTTCTCAGAGAGGAACCTGGGGTTTCCTTTTAAGCAGCATCAGTGTGTTCGCACTGGCGTGTGGTAACAGGAAAGCTTGGGGGAACTCTGGTAAGACTAGTATCTGGAGCCCCCCAGCCACACAAGTCCTCTGCAGAGAGATGAAAGCTGCAAACTGCCTGCAGAGCCATAATCTCTCCAGAGCTACACGCAGGAACACAAGCACCTGGCTGACAATCTCGGTATGTTCAAAGCAAGCCAGAGATACGCCTGCAAAAATATGTAGTTCAGCCCACTAATTGTCAGAAATACCTTTGGCTACAGAGAGAAATATTTGAATAAATGTAAGAAAATACCTCCAAACTGAAAGAAAAAAAACACTGACAGGCTGAAAAAAGGTAGAAGAACATTTCCTTGACAGAAACTTGGTGAAGGTGGTAAAAATGTCAAGACTTTTTGAAGTCGGGTGATAATCAGGTGTAGACAAAGGTTTAGAGGAGGGGCTTTGGGAAAGAGGGAGGGGCTTGAGGAGATGAGCAGGGGCTTTGGGATATAAGGAGTGGCTTGAGGATATAGAAAGGAGAGCTTGATAGGATGGGATTGAGACAATGGGGTAGAGTTTAAGGAGATAGGAGGAGATAGGGAGGAGCTTGTGTCCTACCTGTTCTGTGCCTTAGCGTTCTTCCTGGCCGGTGAGAGTGACCTCTGTCCCTGAGTGATGGGTTCGTCCCCGTGCCCTCTCTTCGTAGGCCCCTGTCCGGAAGGTCGTGGGTTCGAAGCGCACCTCCCCCTGAGGCGGCCTGCTCCCTCATGCCCCGTCATCAGAGCCCTGAGGTGCCAATCAGAAAAAGAACACAGGCAAGAAATGACATCACTCAACACCTGGAATGTCAGGCCATTCCAGGCTCCATAAGCATAGGAGCACCATGGGACCACTGCACTGAAACTCACTATGCAGTCTGGCCTCTCCCTCGGCAAATGTACTTAATAATATTCATCACAGCACTAATAACCAGCACTTCTATCCTGTGACCGGTGTCCAAAGTCTGGCAGGGGCAGGGAGGAGTCTGAACGAGGGAGGGAAAATGACTTAAGAACATCATTCTGAGCTCGAAGTAAGCTGATTTGGGGCACTGAGTCAATAATTAATGCAGCCTGTCTCAAAGCGCACAGCTGTGGACAGAAAGATTCCCTTTAAAGTCAAAATTTCTCTTCCAAAAGCAAATATAATTCCCACCCAGCCGCAAACTCGAGAAATGGAATAAGTGTGACTAAACCCACGGAAATGATCATTTCTGCTCTGTAATCTTAGCACCAGATCTGCAATCTTTGAGAGATGAAAGGCAGCCTCTTCAGAATCATTATTCAGACAGAAGCCTTATTGAGAGGTTACGGCGTAAGGCTCGAAACCAGCAGGTCGCAGGTTCAAATCCTGAATGAGGCACTACCATCACACCACTTTGTATTTCACCAGAATCACTTCAGTAAATATCTGGCTATATAAAGAAGTTCTGTGTAAAAATATAACTCAGTCTCCATGTCTGAGGGGGGAATAAGGGGAGCGAAACAGCAGAACTGGGAGGGATGGGTGGTCCCTGTGCTGAGATTTGGGAGAGGAGGGGCAGACGGACAGACCGTGACCGTCTGCACAGCGTGCACCGGAGTGGGCCCGCGGCAATGCTCGGCCCTCACAGGCGGCTCCGCCCCTCTCTCTGTAATCTGTGAGGAAATCATTTTCATCTCCGCTACGCGCGCCCCAGGGAAACATGCCCCAACTTGCTGATGCCTTCAAATTCTTTAGCTTACTTATCCTCTTCCACGAATCCACATTACTGTATAGGCATCATTTTCTACACATTATATGAAAGTCACCTTCACCTACATGTATGACAGCAAACCCTCCCTCTTTGTGAAATCTCTCCATAGTTAAGTATTGTATGACCATTAATATCACTCCCATATTGATGTATATTTTGGCTTTTAATGTATAAATACTATGTAATATTTTGTTTATGTAATATGTTGTCAAATCAGTCTTCTGCAGGAGTAATGACACTACACATTACTGTGGCGAAATCACTTTCAGAATAGAGGTGAATTTATGTAGGCTTCACTGTGTTCACCATCACATACCCAGAACCTTCCTTAACATTCTCTTTACAAGTGTACATTCATGAGTGTTTGTGTGTGCATGTGCAGATGAAGAAACATCTGTGCTGCTGTGTATTTGAGTGTATGAGTGTCTGTGTGTATGAACATCTGTGTGTGCATGTTTATGTGTGAATGTGTGAATGTCTGTGTGTATGTGAATATGTGTGTGTTGATGTCTGTATGTGTGTGTGCGTGCGCATGTGTGTACGTGTTCGTGTGTATGTGTGTGTGCGTGCGTGTGTGTGTGTGTGTGTGTGTGTGTGTGTGTGTGTGTGTGCCCAGTAGACTCCTCCAGCATCCTGATCTTTAATTAGGTTATGAATAAATCGTTCTACATGTGTCTTTGTGTGTATGTGTGAGCACGTGTGCATGCGAGTGTGTCTGCATGCATGCATGAACATCTGTGTTGGTGTGTATTTGAATGTATGAGTGTGTGCATGAACAATTTGTGCATGTTTGTGTAAGTGTGTGAATGTGTACGTGACTGTGTTGATGTCTGTATGTATGTGTGTGTGCGTGTCTATGTGTCCGTGTGTATGTGTATATGTATATGTATGTATATGTATATGTATGTTTACATGCTGTCAGTACTCCCGCCCGCTAGCCGTTGTGTTTTTGTTTTTTTTCTGTCCATGTGCTTTTGTTTTTCTGTGTTCCAGCCCTGTCCCGCTCCCCGCCCGGTCTCCGCCGCCTGTTTCTCTCATTGCCTTCACCTGCCTGCCTGCGCACCTGTTTCCCATTCCCGTTATCAGCCCTGCCCTATATCTTCCCTGTGCATCCCTGTTCTGTTGCCAGTTCGTCTCGGTTGCTTCTGCCCGTTTCGTTCCCGCTTTTGCTTCGTGCTTGATTTATTGCTTTTCCCGTTTTTTACCTGCCTGTTTTTTCGACCTGTTTTTGCCTGCTGTTTCTGCCCCGTTTGCCTGTACCTCTGCCTGCCCGGTGTCTAACCCTGCCTGCTCCGTTACCCGCTTTTTGGATTTAGCCCTTCGGACTGCCTTTCTGGTTTCTGACCCCTGCCTGGTTTTTTACGGTGACGATTTCTGCCTGTCGGACTTGTACATATCTGCTGGCATTCGTTGGTCTGCGACTGAGTCCCTGCCCGAGCCCTGTCACATGCATGTTGTGTGTGTGTGTGTGTGTGTGTGTGTGTGTGTGTCTGGGTGTGTGTGTGTGTCTGGGTGTGTTTGTGTTTGTGTATGTACATGTGGTCTGTCAGGAACATCCCTCCTCAGCCTCATTGCTTCCATCACAAGTCAAATAAAAAAGGCATCCAGGAAAAACAGCCAGATCTGTTCCATGTCAGCCTATTAAAGTCCCGGTATGAAATCAAAAACATGTCACTTCATCACACGTCAATAGCTTTTTCACTGGACTGGATTTGCATAAGTCCTATCAGCAGTATTATTACCACAAATCAGCCAAACACTCACCTCGGGCAATCTTTCACTCAGCTCTGACTAATGACACCTTAACCTTTGAGCTGTGTGTTGAAACGATGAGCTACTGCTGCCCTCAGCCAGTGCTGTCAGAGTCTGGCTAAAGGATGTGCCTTTAATACACTGAGTCAGGCACGGCATGAAGGCCTCACAGCTTTATTCAGGGAGGATGTGGAAAGGGATGCTGATGTGGACCTGCAGTGAGTGTGTGTGTGTGTGTGTGTGTGTGTGTGTACGCATGAACATGTGTGCATGTGTGTGTATGAAATATATGTGTGTGTTTGTATCCGTGTGTGTGTCCACGCACATGCTTGTTTCATAGTGTATACCAGCGTTTCCCAAACCTCTCCTGGATGACCACTTGTCCTGCATGTTTTAGATCTCTCCCTGCTCAAACACAGCTCAAATGATCAAATTCAAATGATCAACTCGTTATGAACTCTGAAGCTGCTTAATAACAAACTGATCATTTAAATCAGCTGTGTTGGAGCAGGGAGAGATCTAAAACATGCAGGACAAGGGGTCCTCCAGGAGAGGTTTGGGAAACGCTGGTGTATACAGCAATGCATTGCATTTACTCTCAGTCATAACTTCTATTTGCTTACTATTATTACATTATAGTAAGCATTTGAGCTGCAACAGCACAAATATGCTGCTTCCTGCTCCACTCCCCATTTGAGTGTAAAGTACATCTTTGGTCTGTTGACATCTTTCCTAGATCTTGACACTGGCAGTCAAGACCTCAGACTCCAAGACAAAGGCAGTGAGGCATGCTGGGAAGTTTTCCTGATGTGTGTTTCCGTTGCTGTAAACCCCGCTGCTCTCAGAAACAGGAGTGCTATTACCCTGACATCCCAGAAAAAGCAGATCCCGCAGAGTCCTCCGGAGGTGGAGGGCGGCCGTCTCACCTGGTCTCCATGCGGCAGTCCCCTGGCGTCCTGTCTCCAACCTGCCGCTCTCCCGCCAGCCGGTCCGGGAGCGCCACCTCCTTCTTCGTATTCATCTCCGAGTACGGGCAGCCGAAGGCACTGCAGAAGCGGAACCAGAACCAGACACGGTCAGGTGAGAGCAGGACTGTGTCTGCACCACGGTCGCTCTTGCATTCTGTGTTGTGAATGCAGAGCTGACTGCAACTTGACCGCACTGACCCTGTCTGTATGTTGCGACAAAATGGTCACGGTCTCCTTGTCCAGAAAAGTAGCAGCAAATCAGCTATCAAAGACCCACTCCAGTCTTCATTTCTATTCTTTAATTATGAGAAACACATCAGTTTAAACTGGATATTTTCACTGGATACTTTTTTCACTGCTTAATTAGCATGATAAAAGGTAAAAATCATTTTTAGAATTCTGCTAGCCAAAGACCTCTGACAGAGAGGTCTGCAGGGCATGATGTGGGACTTCAGATTCATATTCATGAGTATAAATATTCATTAAACCCAGGGGTCGAGTATGCAGGTTAGGTATATATTCTGACTATATCAAACTCATGCTGAAGTACTACATGGGGAACATTGTGAAAAGGTAGCAAACAATTACTCAACAGGGCAATGAATCATGGCTAACAATCCTAACACTGCGCAGAAGCTAGCCTGCGGCAACAGACGATACCTATGCATTCCCCTGCCAAAGGACACATCTAATTTGAGAGCCGATGTGGGGAAATAGCTTGTCCTCCGAGCCTCTCCCATGACATGAGGTTGCATTTCATGAGGTGTGGGAGTCCCTCTTATGGATGTCACGGGCATGTGGGATGATCCTCTTGGTTTTTTATCGCGACGACGCTGCCCCGCTGTCAGCTTAGTGTCAGAACTTTCCTGTTCGATGGTCCCTGCTGATAATGTGGGGCAGAGCCTCCACTAAAGCCACGCCCCCATTCGTGAAACACAGGCCTGTAAATGTGGAAAACGCACCCCTGCCTTGGTGCAGAGCTCCAGAGACGGCGCATCCAGCCTCAGACATGGAGGTACGAGGCAATTAAAGGCTGGCCGAGGGGAGAATACGGACAGAGCTCACGAGAGAATGCCACGGGTGACCACTGACAGGGATCTGAAGATTACATAGAGGATTTCAGCCTTGTTCTTTTCCCCCTTCCCTCTGCTGTGGTTTCCTAATTCGGGCAGCTTTTAAAAAACAAGCCCTGGAGGGGGGTCGGGACTAATTTGTTAGAGGCAGGGTCCTTGAGGGACGGAGCGCTTTCTATTTAAAAACCCGAGAGTCTGCATCTGGGAGGCCATCTGGCTGCTGGTGCTCCTTCCCATGCTCAGTTCCCTGTAGCTCCCTCTATCTCTGCGCACACAAGCATATGGCGGCAGGAACACTTCGCGCGGGCGAGCGGTGTGACTAACGCGTTTCCAGTCTCCACCAAATTCTTCAAAGTGTTAAGGAAGCTGTCGGCCGCATGTCAGAGAAACCAGAAAACTAAAGCCTCAGGCGTTCACGTAACAGTTATTGTAAATTACACACAAGGATGTCTGACCTGATTACAAGTCTACATATAATATACTATATATATATATACTGTATATTTGTGTGTGTGCGTGTGTACAGCTGGCAATTAGAATTGCGTACATATATTGTGCAATGCACATATTGCACATTGCATACATACACACACACACACACACACACATACACACGCACGCACTATATATACACACAATATACTTATATACATAGAAATACACAGTTGCCAATTGCAATTGCATATATATATATGTACAATATATTCTAATATATACAGAATACAACATATATATACAATATATACAGAATTACACACATGACAGTGGTATTCAGTGATATGTTTCCTGAACATAGCACACAGATTTCCATTCCTGTGGGAAACGTTTAACGCC